GTCCCACTGGGGCAGTGGCCTGCTCTGATTTCCACTTTAGAAACACCCTTCGGGCTTAGGAAGGCTAATCAATGAGGTGATGGTGGCTCCAGTTGGAGTGCGTTGGGAAGCAGTTGGAGGTGGTGGGCAGTAAGGGGCAGAGGCCCAGGCCATCCATGCCCAATACCTGGCTGCAGTGCTGAATGGATGGCAGGGTGGGGTGCCAACCAGTTGGAGGAGGAAGGGGGGTCCTGAAATGTGGCCTTTCCTAGGGAGTGCCCAGCAAAGCAGGAAGTCAGCACTGGACCTCCCACACCAGCTCCCAGGCCTGCAGGGTGCTCTGTGGGCACCATGCAGCCTGGGCTGCTTACCAGCCCTCCACCACTGGGTAGAAGCCATGGGCCATCCCGCGCCCTTCCTTTCTCTCTCTCCTGAGTCCCAGCCTTCAAAGCACATCCCAAAGGGGACTCCTTATCCACATCCACCACCTCCTAAAAGGCTTCCGTCCTTCACTCTTGCCACACGCTGCGCAGCCTCCCCACGGTGGCCACTGGATATGGGAAAACATAGATCTCTCTACTCCCCTGGAAAATCACCGGTATGAAATCCAGACCCATCCTAGCCCACAAACCCCAACCTGCCCTCACCTCCCTGCACTCGCCCCCTCTTCTGACTGTTGAGCCCCCCAGCGCTGCCCCCAGAGCTGCTGTAAGCTCACCTGCTCTTGTTCTTCCTTCACATGCTTCTCCCCGGGTGCCCCACAGGCCACCTCCTCTGCATTCAAGTCCCAACTCAAAGGTCACCTTCTCCTGGCAAAAGCGAGTATCTCTGTCACATTATCTGGCTTTGTTTTTATTATTATTTTTAATACCGTTACCACGGTTTGAAGTTATTTTGTGTTATCGTCTCCCTTGACCATAATGTAAGCTCTGTGAGGACAGGGACCTTGTCTGTCTGGCTCAAGGTTGTCAGGACCTGGACTGGTGCTGGCATACAGGAGAAGCCATTCAATGCTTGTGAGCTGAGCAAGCTCGCTGGCCTCGGCCGGGAGACAGGTATATTGCCGGCTTTAAGGTGGCATGTTGTGACAGGTGATCCAGGATTCAGCAGTCTCGGAGATGGAGGTAGCGATGAGTTCTCCAAGGAAGGATCTGGGAAAACCTTGAAGAGTAAAAATTTGGCTTGTGACTTGTAGCGCTTCTTGAGGAAATAGACAAGAGTGCTTCTGCAGGCATAGGGAGATGGCTGAACAAGGACTGGAGGAGGAAAGGGCCAGGGTCCAGGATGGCTGGGTTATAGGACTTAGGTGTGGGCTGCTAGGGGCATGGGAGACAAACTTGAAAAGGGAGACTGGTACCATGCTATGAAGGTCTTGTTATGGGCTGAATTGTGTCCCCCCAAGATTCAGATGTTGAAGTCCTTACCCTTGTTAAACCTCTGAATGTGGCTATATTTGAAATTAGAGCCTTTAAAGAGGTAATCAAGGTTAAAGAGAGGTCATATAGTGGGCCTTAACCCAGTATGACTGGTGTCCTTATAAAAAGAGAGAGAGACACCAGGGATGCACACACTAAGAAAAACCATGCAAAGAGCCAGCAAGGAGTTGGCCATCTGCCAGCCCAGGAGAAAGGCCAGAGGAGCCGGTCCTGCCTGCACCTACATCTGGGACTTCCAGCCCCCAGGACTGTGAGAAAATTAATTTCTGTCATGTAAGCCACCAAATCTGTAATCTTTTGTCACTGCAGCCCTAGCAAACTTGTACATACATGTCTCAATTTTAACATTTAAACTACATTTTAATTTTAAATAGTATTATATTCACCTGGTTCAAAAACCAAACATAAAAGGAATAATGACAGGTGATCAAAGTCAGCTTTAACAATGACACATGCTGATAGTGTGCACTCTTGACATGAGGTCATGAAGGTGGCATTTTACTCTGTGGTCTTTCTCCAAAAACACCTTAGTGTATCATGAGAAAAAATGTCAAATACATCTTGAGTGAGAAACATCATACAAAATGCCTAACCCAGAGGAGAGTAACTAAATGTAGTGTGGTGTCCTGGATGGGACCCTGGAACAAAGGACACAGGGTAAAACTAAGGGAATCCAAATATAGTGTGGACTTTGGTTAGCACTAATGTAATGACATTGGTTCATTGGCTGTGATGAATACCGTACTGATATACAATGTTAATAAACCAGGCAGGGGGTGGGAGGAACATGAACATAGGAACTTTGTATTAATCTTTGCAATTTTTCCATTAATCTAAAACAGCTCTAAAAGTAAAGTTTATTTTTAATAGTAATAGTGAAAAGTCTCACTCTGATTTCTGTCCCTTGCCCAGTATGTTCCCATTGACAGCTGCTATCTTAGTGTTCTGAGCATCCTTGAAGAACTCTCTGCAAAGATGAATCTGTACTGATTTTCTCCCCAGATGGTCTTTGTATTTACTTTAAAGAACATTTAATAATTTTTAATGTATTTCAAACATACAAAGAGAAAAATACAATGCACTCCATATACCCATCACCTATATTCCGCAATTACCAAGAATTTGCCATGTATGCTTCAGCTCTCCCTCCCCACCTTGCTCTCTCATTCTTTTGCTGAACTGTCTTTAAAGCAAATTCCAGACCCCTTACATCTGCTGACGTGCGTCTCTGAACAATCTGAACATGTTCCATCTCCCTAAAGTCTGTATCCCACCGTCAGTAGTGACTCCTGAAGGGCCTCTTGTGAACTTGAGTCTCTGTCATGGAGAGATGCAGAGGGCTTTACCAGGTGGGGGTGTGTAGGTGACCTGATTACATCTGTGTGGGGGATGGTTTGAGCAGGGAGGTCAGAGCAGGGAGGTCGATTGTGAACCCCCTTGGTCAGGAGGCCGGTTGAGGGAGCCTGACGCTCGGTGGCTGCGGCAGGATGAAGACGGGAAGGCCAGCCGCAGAGCTTATGTGGGGCCCATTGACCAGCCTGGTCTCAGAAAGATGCCTGCAGGAGGACGGATGGGGCCTTGGTGTGAGGGCCCAAGGGGCTGCCACTATCTGTGCCCATGAGTCCTGCAGGCAAGGGCATGGGATCCAAAGGCCAAAGCCCCCTTCTCAGGAAGGTGGACTCATTTTGACCACCTCACCCCAGGTGGCACTTCTTTGTAGTGTCCTCAAAAGGTGTTCCTTGCCTGGCAGAGGGAGCCAGCACCCACCCCTTCAAAACTCACGGGTGTCAGTTACGTCAGGGCTGGAAGGCCCTCAAGAGATCATGGAATCCAACCCCTTTCTAGTTTAGATGAGAAAACCGAGACCCAGAGGAGAGGTACAAGTCGCCTAGGGCTGCACAGGGAGTCAGAGCAGAGATGGAATTAGAGCCTGAGTCTCTGACTTCCAGCCTAGGGCCTCCCATTACCTAGAGCTTACTCCTCTCTCCAAACTCTGCTCCTAGAAGAGATGTGCCATTAGCCATTGATGCCCAGCATGTATACATTTAAAAATCCTTGGATGGCCCTTCTCCCAGGGGCCATTTGTACACTAAGCCTGCTTACTAGTGATAGCATAGTAGAGAGCTATTCATGGAGCAGCTACCATGTGCCAGAAACTGCTAGGAGCTTTTGCTGTGTTTGCTGAAACCTCCCCAAATCCCATGAGGCAGGCACTATTATTTCTGTAATCTCCCATTATAGAGATGGGCAAATTGAGATAGAGAGATGTAGCTTATTAGAGTAAGGGTGCAGCAGAGACAGTGTCTGTCTAACTGGAAAGCCTACCCTCTTAACCACTAACCCCTGTGGCTTCTGAAGAACAGGGTTCCCCATGGAGAAGAAGGCAGTTACCCCAGACCTCCCCTCTTTATCCCCCAGACCCACCCAGCAGCCTTGAGCCTCTCAAGAGGACAAAGGTGCGGATGGACCGAGACCACCACCTGTTGCTGTCTCCGAGAAGCTGCACCCTTGCCAAGGTGGTTTATGGCCCTTGGTGTTCTAGATGCTTCTGGATGCTCCCGGAAATTTCAGTGGTGCCTGTGACATAGTCACGGTCACATCTCTGCCAAAGAATGGGAGACGGTGGAGGATACACAAAGGGTGCCCGCCCACTGGGCGCCTTTCATGAGGGCCAGCTCCGCGCCAGCGCTGGGCATTGGCCACATGGGCGTCCCTGACCTGGTCTCTCTCACTGAGGTGCTCGGACCCCACGAGGAGGTGTCACGGGAAACAGGGCTGTAAGGACAGACTTGGACCCTAGAGATGAGGACCGGGCGCTGCCCTGGACTTTTGAGTATCAAAGGATGCTGGCCCAGGTGGGCACAGGCGTTCTAGGCCGGGGGTATCGCCAGTGTGAAGGGCCAAGGCTACAGAAAGCGGATGCATGCCCCGGAAGGCCGACTGGTCGAAGGAACCGGGCACCGGGAGCCCAGACGACGCGATGGGGACCGATCAAGTGCCCAGGAGCCGAACGCCCGAGCAACGCAGAGCCGGGTCGCGGTTTGGGGGTGCACCCACGCCTTCCGCCCTGTCCCTAGCCTGCAGTCTAGCCGGACGCGAGAAGCCAGGGTCAGGCTGCGGTCAGACGCGGGCGCGCGCCGTTGCCGTGGGAAGCACCCCGTCCCCCCTGCGGCCTCCGGAGCCTGGGGTTCCAGTCCCGACCCAGAGGTGACTCGCTGCACGGCCAGAGCAGGGCACTTGCCTTCTCCGGCCCCTTTTCCCACGCCCCAGCCTCCTAGCGCCGGGGATCTCGGGTCCGCGCGGCCCTGCTCCCACAGGCCGAAACGCGGGGCGGGGCAGCGGCGCGGCGTTTGCAGCGCGCCCTCCCCTCCCCTCCCCTCTCCCACCCGCGGGAGCGCGGACGCGCACGGGCGCGCTCTCACCTGGCCGCCGCCGAGAGCCGGGTTAGACGGGAGGGGCAGGGAAGCCCCACCCCTGCCCCGCCCACGGCCCCTCCGGGCCAATGGGAGGGATCGGCCAGACCCTAGCGGCGTGACGCGCTGGGGGCGGGACCTGCGGGGGCTGAGGAAAGAGCCCGCGGGCGGGCGGGCGGCGCGAGGCGGGCGGGCGGAGGCGGCCGGTCCCGGGACACCGACGCAGCGCGCTGGCGGCCGCCGCAGGGCTGGCCAGGCTCCGCAGCCTGTCGCAGTCGCCGCCTCGCCGCTGAGGTCCCGAGAGCGCGGCGGCGGGCGCGCGGCCTGTGAGGGCGGCCGGAGCGGCGGGCGCGGTGCGGCGCCGAGCGTCCTGTCAGGCGACCGAGGGCGCCGCGGACCCGCGCCGCGATGATGCCGGTGGGTGTGGACGGCCGCGGCTTCCTCCGCGGGCGGCTGGCCAAGCCTCCTTCCTCCCGCGGCTTCCCGCCCCCGGGGCCCGCGCGAGGCCGTTCGTTCGTTCGTCCGTCCGTCCGGGCGGGCGGGCAAGGAAGTGGCCTGGCGGGCGCGCCCGGGCCCGGCGCTCTCCGGGCGGGCGGGCAGGTGGGGGCGGCACCGGGCTGTCAGCGCGGCCCGGCCGGGGGTCGGGGCCGGGGACCGGGGGCGGCCCGGCCCACCCTGCCCACCTGGCACCGCAGGGACCCCCGGCCGCAGCCCTAAGTGTCGAGCTCCCCGGCTGGGGGCTGCCCGGGAGGGGAAGCACTCGAAACCGGAGCCGGTCACTTTTCCATCCGTCCTGGAGGGCGGTCAGACGGGGAGGCTGGGGTGTCGTCCGGGGTCTGAAATTTGCTGGGGTCGCGTTCCGAGGCGGCAGCGTGTGCACCCCGTGCGGTGTTCCCACGCCGGCTTTCTCTAGCCCTTCCCGGATTCCGCGATTCTGTTGAGTTCACGAATTAGGGAATGGAAGTGGAGAGCCATTTTGGGAATTGCCTTTCACCGCGTCCTGGACATTGGAGCATCGCCCCAACTGGCCTGCTGTCCCCGTGTTCTGGAGGTTGAGCGGGGTTCATTTGTGGCGGTGCCTTTGTCCTGCCCGCAGGGATGCGCTCTCCTGGAGAAGAGCCACTGGTTATTAGAGGTGCTGCCATCCTCCTACCCGGCCTTTCCTTTACCTGTAGCTGAAATAGCAGTGGGTGCTGGATTGTGATTTTTGTATTCTGGCTTTTTGTGAGATAAATGTCATGACTTACCAGAAAATGTGGGACTGGTGGTACCCAGTTGGATGTATTGGTTTTCTGAGTGCCCAATATGTTAAAATTCTCAAACACATTTATACTGAACTAACAGCAAAATCAGTCTTTTAACCTACAGTTTGTACATTGAAAATCTCATTTCGGGAAGAGGGTGCCCTTTCTCTGAATTTTCTGATTGAATACTGTTATTTGCTATGGTGCACCCAAGGACATTTAGATAAGAATTTTTTTCTCGTGTTCTTTCAAGTCGTTTCCTGACTCTTAATAATCTCTCTTTGAACTGATGCCAAAACATCGTGTTTGCAGACTCTTAAGGTTTGACCTAGTTGATCCTTAGATCCTTCTTTGTCATCAGGGCTTGTTGGGTTTCTAAACATTTGGTTTTAAATGAACGTATTGTGATGGAAAGAGAATTGGATGAGAATCAGAAGATCCGGAGTCCAGTACTGGTTCTCCTACTTTTTAGCTGTGTGACCTTGAACAAGTCAAGGTTTCCCAGCCTGGAATCACCTGGGACAAAACAGCATGCCAATATCTGAGTGCTGTCCTGAGGACCAAAAGGCTGATGTGTCCAAAACTGCTTGTCAAACAGAATGCCATGCAAATATTTATTATTGTTAATATGGCTTTGAACTGTCGGTTTTAATCTCAGCAAGACAAGGCATTTGGAAAACATTCCTTCCCTAATTCTCACTGGCTAGATTTGGAAAAAGGCATTGCTGTGTCTTAGCATTTTGAAAGCAGTTTTAGCTAAATCCTGTAATAGTTGATCGGTGTATTATACTAGTAACATTAACAGATATCCATAAAATTTTGGTTGATTTTGTCATTGTATACTGCTGAACTATAAATACTGTGTCAAGAAACTTAGCTTACATTTTCCCATATGGTACATTCAGACATTTTATCTCTATTCACATAGTTAGAGTTCCTAGTCTATCTCACCCCGTTTCCTTTTGAAGAAGTTTGCTTAGCTGGCAACGGGGAAATTTCTTCATGACATTCAAAATAATCAAATAGTGTCTAAAAAATTTTTTTAATTGCTTTTAATATGCCTCCTAGAAACATAGTATTTCTCTTAGTCCCCTTTTTGTGGCCTTTATTTTTATTTTTTATTTATTTTTATTTTGGTATCATTAATTTACAGTTACATGAGGATCACTGTTTACTAGACTCCCCATATCACCAAGTCTCCCCCACATACCCTGTTATAGTCACTGTCCATCAGCGTAGTAAGATGCTGTAGAATCACCACTTGTCTTCTCTGTGTTGCACAGCCCTCCCCATGCCCCCCCCCATGTTATACATGCTAATCATAAGGCCCCCTTTCTTTTTCCCCCTCCCTTTTCCCTTCTTTCCCACCCATCCTCCCCAGTCCCTTTCCCTTTGGTAACTGTTAGTCTATTCTTGGGTTCTGTGAGTCTGCTGCTGTTTTGTTCCTTAAGTTTTTGCTTTGTTCTTATACTCCACAGATGAGTGAAATCATTTGGTACTTGTCTTTCTCTGCCTGCCTTATTTCACTGAGCATAATACCCTCTAGCTCCGTTTTGTTGCAAATGGTAGGATTTGTTTTCTTCTTATGGCGGAATAATATTCTATTGTGTATATGTACCACATCTTCTTTAACCTAAGCGTCTACTGATGGACGCTTAGGTTGCGTCCATTTCTTGGCTATTGTAAATAGTGCTACAATAACATAGGGGTACATATGTCTTTTTCAAACTGGGCTGCTGCATTCTTAGGGTAGATTCCTAGGAGTGGAATTCCTGGATCAAATGGTATTTCTATTTTTAGTTTTTTGAGGAACCTCCATATTGCTTTCCACAATGGTTGAACTAATTTACATTCCCACCAGCAGTGTAGGAGGGTCCCCTTTTCTCCACATCTCACCAACATTTGTTGTTGTTTGTCTTTTGGATGGTGGCCATCCTAACTGGTGTGAGGTTATATCTCATTGTGGTTTTAATTTGCATTTCTCTGATGAGTAGTGATGTGGAGCATCTTTTCATGTGCCTCTTGGCCATCTGAATTTCTTCTTTGGAGAAGTGTCTGTTCAGCTCCTCTGCCCATTTTTTAAGTGGATTATTTGCTTTTTGTTTGTTGAGGTGCGTGACCTCTTTATATATTTTGGATGTCAACCCTTTATCGGATCTGTCATTTATGAATATGTTCTTCCATACTGTAGGATGCCTTTTTGTTCTATTGATGGTGTCCTTTGCTGTACAGAAGCTTTTCAGCTTGATATAGTCCCACTTGTTCATTTTTGCTTTTGTTTCCCTTGCCCATGGAGATATGTTCATGAAGAAGTCGCTCATGTTTATGTCCAAGAGACTTTTGCCTGTTTTTTTCTAAGAGTTTTATGGTTTCATGATTTACATTCAGGTCTTTGATCTTGTGGCCTTTATTTTTGCATTTCCTTCCTGATACCTGAAAACAACACTTGCAGGATTGAGTCCTTCCTATGTTGTTGAAATTGGGGTTTGTTGTGAATTTAATACATGTCTTAAGAGCATGCCATTCTAACTTGATGCTATACAAGATATAATATTTTTCTTTGCTGTACACTTGGTGTTCGTCATCATGATAAATCATTAAGGGAAAATTGTATCACATTTTACATAGTTTGTATAGAGCAGCATTGTCTAATAGGAATATAATGTGAGCTGCACAAATATGATTTAGTTTTCTAGTAACTATGTTAAAAAGGTGGTATTATTTTAATATCTTTCATTAACCCAATATATCAAAGATATTTTAATGTAGTCAATACGAAACATTTAATAGTGTGATATTTTACTTTTTTTTTATAGCCAGTCAGTGAAGTCATGTGAATCCAGTGTGAATCTGGTGAAGTTTTACATTTATAACACACCCCTGTTCAGGTTTCAAGAGTTCAGTAGCCATGTGTAATTAGTGGCTACCATACTGGACAACACAGGTTAGAGTATATTTTATTTTATTTATCTGAGAATTGGCAATTAGTGTGTAGTGTCTATGATAACTTGTAATTAATCAGATGGTTTACTGCAGGGCTCAGTCTGTCAGCTGTTGGGAATAAAAGGAAAGTATCTGGCCATGTTCTCATCTGACACATAAAATCTTTGTAGAAGTGTTCAGTTTGGTGCACAAAGTTCCATGACTGCCTACTTTTAAACAAAGTTATGTTTTGGAATTTTCTCTTATTAAAGTAGTATTGTATTCTAGTAACTGTAGTCATTTGCCTTTTTTGTCAGTAAATGACATTTTAAAAATGTTTTCCCAAAAAGAAAATGGACTATACTTTAGAAATTACTCTTGGCTTATCCCTAGGATCTGGATCTGACAGCATTTAGGCCACACCTAAGCAACTTTTATAAAAATAATAATTTAAATAAAAATAGCCTGATTCAGAGTATGGAAAGGATGAAAACTGCCTTGATCATTAGTCAGCAGCATTCTTTTTGAAAAAGTAAACATTTTACAGGTGGTGAAACTTTTCGTTTATAGGTGAATTATATCTGGGGGATGGTGCTAAGGATACTTTTTCCTCTTTGAAAGGAATGTTGACCTGAATAAAGAAAGCTCTATGGCTCTGAAGTGTGTTTTATCCATAAGTAACGTACTCTAGTGGTAGTGTTTGGTAATGTTAACAGTGGGACTCCTTACCCCCAGTAGACACCACGCAGTGTGACCACTGATTCCACTCATTTCTGTCCTAGATTATTCTGTCATTTCAAAATAATCACTATAGGCTATGGGTTACATTAATTTGTTTTTAATATTTATCTCAGTTAAACAAACATCCACTTACTTAAGGTAGTTTCTTCCCAACTATGTAGAAAACATTTTGAGGTACTGGAGAAGGTCTTTCTCTCTTTTTAAGCCATCAGCTATCATGGAATTGATAAAACAAATGTAGGGAGACTTAGATTCTAGTCGTGCTGTGTGACCCTTGGCCTCCATCTTTTTGGACCTTAGTTTCTCATCTGTAAAATAAATTGGTTCTGATGATTTCCAGCTGTTTGTGTTTGGTCCAGTAGTTGACATATAGCAGACACTTTCATGGAGGTCAATAATATTGATATTGGCTACATCAGTTGAGGCAACCTGACACTTTGTTCGGCAGCCTTTTAGTAAACTTCACTGCCCACGTATCTTTGTATGACAGAGCAGATAAGAAGAGCTCAG